GAGGCACTGTATGGGAGAAAATGTAGGTCTCCCATTGGGTGGTTTGATGCATTTGAGGTTAGATCTTGGGGTACTGACCTTCTGAGGGAATCATTAGATAAAGTGAAATGCATTCAATAAAAGCTTTTAGCGGCTCAAAGTAGACAGAAGGAATATGCAGGTCGAAAGGTCAGAGACTTGGATTTTATGGAGGGTGAACAAGTCTTGCTGAAGGTTTCACCCATGAAAGGGGTGATGCGGTTCGGTAAGCGAGGTAAGCTTAGTCCGAGGTACATTGGTCCATTTGATGTTCGGAAGCGCGTGGGAGAGGTAGCTTATCAATTAGCCTTGCCCCCAGGGCTCTCAGGAGTGCACCCGGTATTTCATGTGTCTATGCTTAAAAGATATCATGGGGATGGAAACTACATCATTCGTTGGGATTCAGTTCTTCTTCATAAAAATTTGTCTTATGAGGAGGAGCCTGTTGCCATTTTAGATAGAGAAGTCCGCAAGTTGAGATCAAGGGAGATTGCATCCATCAAGGTTCAATGGAAGAATCGACCAGTTGAAGAGTCCACTTGGGAGAAGGAGGCTGATATGCAAGAAAGATATCCACACCTTTTCACAGATTCAGGTACTCTTTCTCGCCCTTGTTTTTCTTCTTGTGATCGTTCGAGGACGAACGATGGGTAAATTGGTATCTATTGTAACAACCTGTTTAGTCGTTTTGAGCAGTAGAGTTTATTTCTGGTAATAGCTGGCTGGGTCAATGGATCCCACGACGGACCATCATGGGTATGACGGACCGTCAAGGGGGTCTCGTTCCAAAACACTTAAGACCCTTGAAATTTGGGTACTGAGATCGACACTCTGAACTTCGCGACGGAAGAGCAGCACGGACCGTCATAGGCACGACGGACCGTCACAGAGCTCTTTAATGAATTTGACTCTCTGAACTCTGTGATGACTCTACAGGACGGACCGTTGCAGGCACGACGGGCCGTCACAGGCTGCGTAATCCTGACTGGGTCGGATTTCTGTTAAAAGTTTTAAGGGGTATTTTGTACTATTCCTGCTTATGATTATAAAGTTAGTGGTTTAATGTTAATAATTCAATTACTTGGGGGTTAAAGGAGATAACCTTGAAATAAATAGTGGGTTACTTTTATCATCTTTTATACTTAATTATATGGTAATTAGGGTAAAACAAGGGAATTTGAAAGAGGAGAAAATTAAAAAGAGAAAGAAGAAAGAACGAGCGAGGGAGAAAGAGAAGAACACAGAGGAAAGCAAAAGCATTGGAGAAGTAGATTGCTTGATTCACGATCCTTCGGTGGAGGTAGGTTATGGTTTGTGTTATTTCATAGTAAACTCTTAATAGCGAATGATATGTATTAGGTAGTATTGTAAAGTCTTCTATATGCTTAATTGTGTGCTTGCATGATGCGATTATGTAATTGCAATGGATTGGAAAGATGAGGCTGTGAATCTTAAACCTTAATCCACTTTGTTATTGATGATGCCTTGGTATAAAAGAAGGCTTGATGATCTAAAAGAATGAGATTAGGGGATCGGGGTGTCACGTTCCGACACCAGGATCGTAGAGGATCAGAGTGTCACGTTCCGACACCAGGATAGTATTGGATCGGAGTGTCACGTTCCAACACCAGGATAGTAGAGGATCGGAGTGTCACGTTCCGACACCAGGATAGTAGGGGATTGGAGTGTCACGTTCCGACACCAGGATAGTAGGGGATTAGAGTGTCACGTTCCAACACCTGGATAGTAAGATGAATGATATTGAGGGGATCAGTGTGTCACGTTCAGACACTAGGATTGTAAAGCGAATGAATCTTGAATTATGCTAATATACTCAATTCCAAAGAACCTATTTCCCAAATGAGTATGGTGTGGAGTCTTGAGTCCTCATAGATGTGCTTGGTGTTGTGGCTAATGGTTATGGTACTTGTTGTTTTAACCTGTTAAGTATCTTGTTGGTTTTATTTTATTATCTGATATATATTGCTTTCTAATTTGAGTTGGCCGATGATACCTACTCAGTACTTGTGCCTTGTACTGACCCCTACTTGTAATTTTCTTCTTTGTTATTTGCGGAGTGCAGCAAACGTGCCATCGACTTCGACTCGTCCTCAACTCTAGCCAGTCTTCATCACGCCAGATTTCAGGGTGAGCTATTGTTCCTAACTCGGACTGGATTCTCTCTCGTTCATGTCTTGATGTCTTTGAAGTCGGACATGGACCATCTGTTTACTTAATTTAGCTTCCTAGACACTCTTAGATTTAATAATTTGAGGATAGAATGTTCTTGTGGTGATGACTTCCAGATTTTGGGAATAATAAGTATTAAATATTAGAAGTTATTTATTGGTTATAGTAATGAGTTTTAAGTCTTCCGCATTATTTTCTGTTTATTATGGTTGAAATGTTGGGGCTTAGATTTGTTGGTTCGCTCACATAGGAGGGTAAGTGTGGGTGCCACTCGCGGCTCGTTTTGGGTCGTGACAGAATCAATTGTAATACTTTATAGCTTGTACACATGACAACCAGATTTTGAAGGTATTTTTGAGTTGATTATAAAATTTCCGCACTTTATTGTAACAATTGAATTTTCGGCTGACTTTTCTTGGTGGGATAAGACGAGTGCCATCACGTCTAATTTTTTGGATCGTGATAGTATGTCATTTCCTTTGATTCTCTTCGGATTTTTCAATTTCGTGGCATTGTTTTTTTTTTGGCTTGTAGAAATTTTGAAGTATCTAATTTACTTAATTTTTCTTTTTATGTATAATTTCAGAACTTCACGTAACATATAATTTTTTGAATATATATATATGTATATTTATTTATTACTATTATTTTATCATAGTTAAAATTATTTTAAGCAAGTTGTATAAATTAATATATTAACTACCTCATGTTAAATTATGCATTATATATTATATCAATTGTTGCTGATATTTTTGAATCCTGTCTCTTTGACATAAAACATTAATCCATCATGTTTATCAATTACTTTGGAAAAATTCTTTCTATATTGTACAAAATTGTTCTCCTAATTTTAATCAATATTAAGACCAAAGTCATAAGCTTTTTTATCCTTTTATTACTTTATAAATAATGAGATGATTCATAATAATTTTCATTTGGCATGTCATTTTAATAAATATTATGTTTTACTGTTATTTCCTATCATGTTTATTTGAAAGTATCATAATAAATTTTCTATTAAAAATCTATCAAATTTCTATTAGGGCAATTTTCACATATAGCAAACACAAAATTCATATTTGTATGCTATAGATAAGTTTGCATAATTGCGCTCCATAGAAAACACATATATGCATAATTCGCTATACATATACAATTGAAGCGTATTGTATAAAACGAATTGTATAAAATGATAAATAGAGAAATTATAAACAATTTGAATATGTATAAAACGAGAAAGAGAGAAAGACAAAAGAGACTTGGGAAGGAAATATTTGTATTGTATAATTATAAGTGTATAGGACGATTATATATAATTTGAATTTGTATAAAATCAGAAAGAGAGAAAGGCAAAAGAGACTTGGACAATGAATATACAATTGAGTCGAATGTATAAAATAAAATAGATAAATAGTATAAAATTTAAATTTGTATAAAATGAAAAAGAGAGAAGGGCAAAAGAAACTGGGTAGGGGAGTATTTTTATTGTATAATTTTAAGTGTCTAGGACGAAAATATATGTATTTGCATGTGTATATACAATTTTTTCTTGCTTTATACAAACAGAAACATAGTTTATACATTTGGTTTCTGTCAATTGTATGTATATACATATGTATAAAATTGAAATCTCTCTGACTCTATATAAAATTAAAAATTTGTATTAGTGGAACTATATATTATTATTTAAAAAATTTGTGTATAATTAAAATCTATATTAGTGGAACTATATATATATATTTTAAGAAACTTCGGATTTGGAGAGATTTTAGAAAAAATTAAAAGATATTGGGAGAGTAAAGATAACTAACGGATTTATATAAAAATAGAGGGTGAGCCCCAATCAATTAAAAATAATTGATTTGGGAAGAAATTTTAGGAATAACTGAAAGAAAATGGGAGAGAAAATATAGGGAATGAATTTGTATAAAAATAAATCTTTCGCTATTTTTAAATGTGTGGGTCCGAACCAAATGATAAAAATTGTGCGACATTTTCTTCGGAATACAAATGAATCAAACAGTAGCTATAGGATCTATTTTTATTTAAATGTTTGTTATCATGGAGAAATTTCCCTTTCTATCATAAGATTGTAATATTCGGCCTGTAAATAGGCATTTCATTATCTAGTATATATATATATATATATATATATATATATATATATATATATATATATATATATATATATATATATATATATATATATATATATATATATATATATATATATATATATAT